ATTTTGAAGAATTCTTAGATGCTGTCTTGTATAGTCATTCTAACGACACAAACGATCAGTGATGTACTAATCTGATACTTGCTCGAAACTGTAACTACAAAAAACTCTCTCTCTCTCTCTGTGTACATATTAGCATTGAATAGAGAGGAGGACAGCTCAACAAAATTAGGGAAGTTATGAGCGAAGAATCATTGTTATAGTACGTCTGTGGAAAGTTAGTAGTCAGATTTTACTCACTTCACTTTTCATAATGATAGGTGGACATTTGTCGAACACTTGACTATAGTTGGTTTTACAGAAAGTTTATCTGTCTGTGCAAATTCTAGCTGCTTGAATTCTTATATTACTACTATCTTCGCTGTACACTATCACGTTGACTACTGTATGACATAGAAGATGCTCATTGGAAGATACACTTAATAAAGCTAGGTTTTATCTAATGCATGTGTCCTGAAAATGAAAACAAAGTTGTACAAAAACTTCGTTATCTCTGGAAAACATACGACCATTTAGGTTTATCTTACAGCGTATTGCACTAGACCTTAGCAGATATTTAGTAGTCAATCGTTGGTGTCCCGTCGGTCCACCACTCATCAACTATCAAAATATTTCCATGGAATCGCATTGAAAAAGTGAAAATGTTTAGCGAGAGCATTTACGAATACTTTTATAAAGAGATCAACAAGCGCATAACAATACTCTCGTCATTGGGACAGCATAGCAGAATTCGAACCCTATATGATAATATTGATGAAGCGAATTAAGTTAATACTCTGAGAATAATAAGCACGCATTTTCTTTCATAGTTCATTAGCGCTAGAGTCTCATCTATCTAATATCATTATAAGTGGGAGCTTATAGTCTACTCAATTGTTGCTCCTATTAATAGTTAATATTACCCGATTAATCATTTATCTTACTAATTAGTGTCTGGTCGGGAACAAAGGTGCTGCTTTATTGAAGCTGATCATTCTACACTTGAAAACTTCAAACCGTCGTGCTGTCGATATTCGTGCTTTGCAGCAAATTTTGAAGGTTCGCCAACTTCAGTTTCAAACGAAACTCATTACATTTCACACCAACACAGTTGACAAATTATTAAATCAAGGCTTGCTAACAAATTTATGGCCTCCTTTATTGTTTATGTCATCTATCGCATTACTATTATGCAAACTAATCACCTACATACTCTTCCAAGAGTAAAAAGGGATATAACGGATAATAAGAATATCATAGAAAATTGAGATACAGATCAGAATGTAATGCTGTTTTTTTTATGAATTTCGTAACATATTTGTTGAAAGACACTGTAAAGATGAACAGCAGAACATGAAACTCTAAATCGCTATCGTTACATGTATAATCTGTCAAAGATTTTAGATCATACTGTAAACTCTTGAAAACTTTTCTACTTCAAGGGCTTTTAAAAATAAGCACATATTTTCAGATAACTAGGGTTTATTACGATGAAAATCAGTGACAAAGGCCTCTGTCCAACAAGTGGGACTATTCTGATATGATATTGTTCACGTATCATTCCGACATAATTATCAGAGAAATTAAAGGTGTCACTGCAATGTTTTTTCAACAACAGTCAGCTGTAATGTTATCGAAAATGAAAAACTCTACGTATTACACGTGAGCAGAGATCTTCAGGTGATATATTAGATCTCAGTTAAAGCTCAGTTTAAATTAAAACTCTTTCATGCAGCCACTAAACTTCTTCCCACACGTAGATAGATCATATTCGAATCATGCAGATCGAGACATATTATGATCCGATCAGCATTCTATGGGTCAGATATATCTTTAGTCATACGCAATCACTTCTGCTACTCATTCTTTTTCGTAGAATAAAGCTATGCTGCTCCCTTTCTACACAGGAAGAAAGCAGTTTTTTTTATCCACGTCTTAGAACGAAATATACTTCTTTCGTATATTCTATAAAACAGTATTTCCTCCGATCGATACGAAAACTGATTCAGATGTGAGATTGTTTTCGAATATACTATGAATTAGTTTTTACTTCGATAGCGATTTCACATGATCTAGAAAGTTTCTCTACTAGTCGAAGCTAAGAATGAGCATGTAGGATGCTACCAGGTACAGGATGTGACCGAGTCTGTAACTGTGTATATGAATATCTGTTGGTTTGGATATTCCCAAGCATTCTCGGCGGACGAGAGGGTAAACAAAAGACTAGATGGAAACCGTTCAAAACCTTTTCAAGGATTTTGTATTGTATAATTCTTTTTTCTACAATGTAAAGTGCATCAAAAGCATCTCTTGGTAAGTTTATCGTGTGTCCTGAAGAATTTCAAAAAGTAGTGTTATTGATTTGCAATGGCTTTGCCATCGAACAAATTCGATGACACTCATGTAGCTCTCTGAAACTTTCTTTGTTTATCACAATTGTCAGCTTATCTAAAACATGATCTAAACTGGGAACTTTCATTAGTTAGTCGTAAAGAGAGCTCGTCATCTGAAGATTATCTGTGTCACAAAATTGAGTCCGCTGGAACACCCATACTACTTTAATGCTAACGTCAATACCATATGATATTATCACACCTAAACTGCAAGTGTAATTCGAATCTACTCGACTTTCGAAAACTATTGAACACGAATGGTTCAAGAAACGGTTGATCGCTTCATCCTTTGTGTTTACTTTTATAACTGAAGACGTTCCTCTAGTTCTGATTTATTTGAACTATCAATTTATGGCCTAATGACACTAGGCTATCTTCAAACACAGACATTGATTGTGAAATATATTGGTCAATACAATCTCAGCTAAACTTGTGAATTATGTTGCGTCAACTAATTATTTATATATTGTACTAATGTCATTGGAAGAAAGTTTTGATTAGAAGTCAATAATTGTGTTTCGAATTATATGAGCGCTAGAAAAATCAGACGCAGTGGTGCTGCATCTACCTCCATTGATAAAATATGACGCGCGATATTTACTAACTAATTACGTCTTTTATTGGACAGCCATTTATTTACACTAAACAAAGATAATAAATAGTTCTATTTCACCAAATCTCCAGTGTTACGATACGTCGTTTTCTGATTAACTGAAATATTGTTGACGATATAAAAGCTTGCTATACAATCTAATTTAGCTTTGGCAAGGAAACTTCTAGCAAATCTACCTAATCATAGCTCTTTTGTTTTGAAAGAATACATTATAGTCTGAATGACAATGACAAACGATGCATTTTAGTATTCGGTAAAAACTTTAATAACGTTCTCAATTATAAACTATGTACACACAAATCTTAAGTTGCGCAACATTATTCACCACATAAGAAATCATTCTCATGCATAAAAGCCGGAAAAAGTGATAAATTCGCACATTGTCACGAATAATATTTAAAAAGTTTCATATAAGTGAGGAATTAAGAGGAGAGTTTGTTTTGCTTGAGAAAGGGCATATTTATTATCAATTCTGTCGGATATTTCACAAAAATAAGCTTATAGAAGAACTATGTACGTCTTTAACTTTTTAACAGATTTTAGCGTCAAATAAACGAAAGATTACGCAGACTTCGGAGATGCAAAATGCTCTATGTTCTTTTTCCACTCCGTCGGATCAAAAACACTGATTAAAACTACAGTTTCGTCTCCACCTCAATGTAGTGCTAATTATCGTTTCAAAAAGAATATTTTTGACAAGAATGAACAGACAAAGTAAATATGAGGTATTAAAAGCAGCGAACAACTATCATCTCAAGAGTATTTTTAAAGTTCTATTGCCCTGATAAATTTATTCGCTATATAATACATATTCGTACACTTCTACTTCAATCGCCACAAAAGAAAACTAGAAAGCTCTTGTTACCCAACTTCAACTGTTCGTTGATAATCTTGTGCACATCTCTCCTAACTATGTACCTGAGTTCGAAATAATAGGACTTGAATTCTATGAAATGAATCGTGCAGCATCTGAGAATAGAGAGATCGAACATCTTATAACTTAATGCTTTGAACTCCTGAACGGCACGTACAAGAGCCTTTAAGCAAAACCAAAGATGGGATTAAAGACATCGGCGATTCTGACTGAGATCCTGGTGATTTATAATAATTAAACTACTTGTTGGACGCTACCATATTTATACATTTAGGGACAAGGAGGAATCGGAGAAGCATTAAGTAGTCATGTTTGATGCTTCATTACATGCTTCAGTTGTTAAATTAATATCATATCTTGCTTTTATTATGATCTTAAGTGCATCTGTCGAATCTGTTCGGCCGACATACGAAATCCGATATCGCATCCGGTTGGATTCGAATATAAAATTGATGGACTTGAGCGTTTGCAAACCGATGGAAAATATTCATGTGTCTGCCAATATCATAAGAAAATCACCGATGTTTGTCAAAATACTCTTTTTCACTGTTTGATATTGTTCTTGTAATTTTTATTTTACATTTTGAAAAGTTTCAAGCACATTCTCGACATTCATTATATTGACAAGAGAAAACTGCCCATGAAGTACTGTCTTATGACAGTGTGACTACATTGGTCTTCTTCAAATTCATTCGTGCACCGTGTCTCACTTCCTTTCTAAGTATGTATGTATGTGTCGTAGTATGAACGATATACACTTCGTATGAATGTAACAGCCAATAGACACCTGTATCATCAGAGACGATAAGTTACTCACTCAGTTTCTCATTACAGAAGACCTATTGAACGTTTATTTTTGCACATCCAGTACATACAAAAAGGAGATATGTGATTATGTTCACGAAATTTTCTTTTCTGTTTTTCTCTTTCATTTCAAAATAAAATACAAAAAATACAACATAACAATTGAAAGAAAAAGGAGAAACATGATGTGACTTGAAGAATATTTCGATGATAACAGGTTAGTGTTCTATGCTCAGTAAGGTTCCAATCATGATCAGTTATAATCAGTTTCCTACATAGATTAGAACGGGTATGTAGTCATTTCTAATTTTCGAATAGTAAATGTTTTACGTCATTTTTTTTATTCTTGCCGATGGAGTACGTTGTATTGCAGCAATTTCATTAACAGATTCTTGTCTTTGTTTTCAATGGAGAGATTAACAAGATTTTCTTCTTCAATATACTTGAAAAAGTCGTCTGGTTCGTATTCACCAGCAATTAAATCATTGATAAACATATCGATATAACCATGTGCTATATAAGTTCTCTTCGCTTTTTTCAACAATAACTCAATCACTTGATCTTTTGTCAATCCACTTGCTTTGGAAAATTCGTTGATTACATTACTAACTAATTGAGTAGCTGCGTCACTAATTTCCCCTCCAGACAAAAGGTTCTTTAAGATCTTTGTATTGTAATGGGTGATCATGTTGTAAGATGTTGGAAGTGACATATTTTTTGTTTGTTCATTTCTGATTTTAAACTCTTCATCAATTCGTCGAACTAATGGTTGTAATAGATGAGCATATGTTTCTGCTAATACTTTATCGCTTGTATTTTGTCTAAATGGAATCGATGGAAAATGCAAAGATAAAAAAAAGGATGGCTTACTGCAGTTGGTGAACTTCTTTTGTCAAATCAGACAATGCCGTTTGTAGATTATTTCTGTCATCAATCAATCTATTTCTATCATCAATCAATTCATCAACAGTTCCCTTCAGGTCTTGTTGGTCTTTCTTCATGGTTTTAATTTGAGATCGAATGTCACAAAGATCATACTACAAACAAAAGCGAAATGAATGAATAGATATACGGATGATATTCACCATCAACTTGTATGCAATTGTTTCCATACCGTTAATAAGTTCGTCTAATTCTTTCCATTGATGATCATTCAAATCCAACAATTTGATGAACGCTCGAAGTTGACCGATGGCTTGGTCGACATCAATCTTATTAAAAAAATCATCGATAGTTCCGTTGATGCTTTGTTTGAATTTCGTGAGATGAATTTCGCAACTTGGTGGTAAATCAGACATCTGACTACAAATTTCGAACATTCGATTCACTAAATCATTTAATTGATCAACTGAAATGAAAAGGTGAACAATTTATAACTGAATACTTCATTACAGACTCACGATATTGTTGTCGAGCTTGTTCACCGTTGTCTGGATCATTCTTCGATTCATCTATGACCTTCTTATGATTTCTCCCTTTCTTCTTTGTATTTTTATTCAATTTTTTCGGTGATTTTTCCATTGAATTGAAGTGTCAATAGTACGAAAATGATGTGTAATTATTACTAAATGTTTTTCTTGATTGTTAAATTAATATGTTCAATTCGATGTTGAATGTTCGTGTGAAATTTCGCTTCTACGTAATACCAAGAACTTATTACCGAGAGACCAACAGACGAGATTCGATTGAAAAAGTAAGAAAATCCAAAAGCCAATATCGATGAACAAATGAAAATCTTTTATTTTCAAGTTTATTATATTGACATTAACATCGATCAGAGTCAGAAACGAAATGACTTTTATTCGATCACACATCATTATCGACATACATCTTGCCTAGCCACTCAAGTTTTACGGTTAAACAGATGTCGCGAGTTGCTTAGGTATAATGATCAAAACTAGACTTGTCTTTATCATACAGTACGAAAACGCTATACTCATGTACTACTTCTTCGTGAGCGCACTTATTCTATTCTTTTTTCTTCATTATTATGACATGTGCATAAGAAATTTCACACATTGTGGCGCAAGTAATCTCGAGAACTGAAAGCCAGCAAGTTCTAGTTCGAACACTGAGTTCAAATACGAGAATCAGATTATAACCATTTCTTTCCAATTTTTCGTATCAGATTCGATTCGTTTACAAACATGCACCACGTAAAAGACTGACTAATTAAAATTTTATTACAAGTTAAATTAGCAAATAATAGGACAAAATAATTAAAGCTATGTGTCACTCGTTACATGTAAACATAATGATAAGCAAAATTCACTAAATGTATCAGTAAAAATCAATCAGCGTTCATTAAACATCTTTAAAAATTACCAAAAGTAATCATTAATGTTTTTCCGCTTTCCTCACGATGTTTCGATTTTGCGCCTTCATAACACGTTACGCATGCGAATCTTGACTAACTGTACGATCGATGCTATTTAGGGTGCACTAAAAAAGTGTGGACGAGCATCAAAAGTTGCGAAGAGAAAAAGCTCTGTTGCCCTGTACTGTTTAATCGCTATTTGTATAATGTCATAATGATAAAATTATCAAAAGATATGCTCCATGGTCTTATTCTCTCGTAATTTTACCCGTATCGCCTCAAGTACCTTGCTTTGCTTTTTATTAATTATTCTTATGTCACTCTCAATCTCATTTCTTTGTAAGTTCCACACGATTCAACAATTAAAAGATGAATTAATTCAAGATTGTATTCAAATACCAATTCAACAAGACAGAATCCTATCGCTGGACCGCGAAGAAAATTATAATCTTACCCGATTCGCTGTACAGGAAAAGGAAAGCGAGGAATCATTCCAACTCTATATACTTGATATTTTCCCAGGTTTTGTCTAAAGTCATCACCATCATCGTTGTTATATCGCTCAAATGAACTTGCTAACTTGACCACAGCGTCGAAGAAAGTTTTGACAAAATGTATGACTGTTATTGGAGATGGAAGTGACAAGCAAATTTCTTAGCTATTCTTATCTTATAGATGTTCTTCATAACTCTCGCTCCTCGTCTT